CCCAAACCCCTCCCTTGTACCCCTAGACGGGACACAGAAATGTCCCAGCCCAGAAGCCTGGAGGACAGTGACAAAACCAGGCAGTACCAGTTGAACACTTAGCCACACCAGACCCCAAGGAGCCCTACACCCCCATTTATAAATGGGGAAACTGAGGCTCTGGAAAGTGAGACGTCGGATGCTCCCAAGACAGCTTGGTCTCCAAGGTGGCTCCGCGCCTGCACCACTGCCTCTCATCCGGCCCAGCCGCAGCCCCCCTCACCTGGACAGCCCACATCACCTCCTGGACGGGTTCCTTCTGTCACTGCCCCTGACACTGTTCTCCACGTGTAGTCAGAAGGATCTTGCCGTCTAAGTCAGCTCGTATCCTTCCTCAGCTCAAAAGCCTTCCATTGCTCCCGCTTAGAAGCAAATCTGTCTCCACGGTGTCACCAAGATAGCTGCTTCAGGTGTTGGCTTCTGGTCACATGCCCGCATCTCCCCAGCTCCGACTGGGGCAGGGCGGGGGGGGGGGGTGGTCCAGGCAAAGGGGACTCCTCCCAGGAGCCTGCACTGGCCCCATCCCAACTCCAAGTCTGCCCTCTTTCCTTCCCTTGCCCCCTTGATGCTTAAGTCATTCCCTGCTTGGAATCCTCCGGTGACCGCAGGACTGACTATGACAACTCCACACCAGGGTTTTTCATACTGTTGGTCACAACCAGTTAGTGAGCTGTAAAATCAACCAGCATTTTTTAATAGAGGAGAAGAGATCAGCATCTGATCATTCAGCATAGACATAGCATAGACCAAGGTAGAGAGGGAGCACGGTTCAGGTGAAACTTGGGTTTCAGTCACCGCAAGTCAAAAAAGTTTGCAAAACCCTACGCTACGCGGTCCTGCCTCTGCCTTTCCTAAATCCCATGGACTGAGTGGATGGATGATATTAATAGCAGCTCAAATTTATCTCCTTGCTGAGACCTGTGCCAAGTGGCTTTGTGTGCTTCTGCTGGTGGACTGCGTACCACATCCCGAGCACGGCGATCCTTCCCTCTTGACAGATGGTGAGATTGAGGCTCGGACTGGAGGCAAACTATGCCTGAGGTCACCAGCTTGGGAAGGCCGGGCCTCCAGCCCTCACGAGCCTCCTTCCTGAGCCTGAGCATGGGAAGCCCGCCCACTTGGCCTCTGGTCCCACCCCTCCTGTTCTGCTCCTGGCCGACTTGGAGCACTGTCCTGAGAACCCCATAGGTACAAGCTGCCTCATAGGTCCAACAGCCCACCCAGCAATAGCATTTCGATTCCCACTTTGCAGGCTAGAAAACTGAGGCCTTTCATCCCAGGATACAAAAGCTGAAAAGCGGGGCTGGGGATATGGCTCAAGCGGTAGCACGCTCGCCTGGCATGCATGCGGCCAGGGTTCGATCCTAAGCACCACATACAAACAAAGATGTTGCGTCCGCCAAGAACTGAAAAATAAATATTAAAAAATTCTCTCTCTCTCTCTCTCTCTTAAAAAAAAAAAAAAGCTGAAAAGCATTTCCAAGAATCTACCACTCCATCACCCTTCTCCAAACTCCCGCCTCTCAGAGGCAGGAGAGAGACGTGGCTAAGAATGGGTCTTTGCCTGGGTTCAATCCCAAACTTCAGAACTTTATGGCTATGTGATTCCAGGCAAGCTCTGTGTGCCTCAGTTTCCCTTTTTGCAGAATGGGGTGATAGCAGCAACCTATCCACAAGGCCATGCTTAAGTCTTCAATAAGTTAGAATATGTACAAAATTCTTAGAACAGTGGCCACCTCTCCCTTCAGTGGGGGAATCTTCCCAACAGCCCAATGTAAATGGACTACTATCTGGTCCCCAACTTTGTCACAGAATAAGGAAGTCCCCTGCCTTAGTTCACAAAGCTAGAAAGTGGGAAGATCAGAATTTGGTTGTAGATCTGTCTGGACTTTTAGTCACCGAGTCACAACAGCTCTTTAAGGAATATGAGTGTCAACAGCAACGTTTTCCAAATTAAGGAATGGAAGACTCAGAGAGGGTAAGGATGTCCCCAAATCACACAGCCTGTAAATGGCAGAGCCAGGATTAAGTGCAATCTCGTGTGTGCCCAGGTGCAGGCTGACCTTCACTGCGGTGAACCCCTCCATTCAGCACTGATGGGGCAGGAGCGAAGAGCAGGTGGAGGGCTCCCTGTTCCAGCCTGATCTGGGTCTCTGGTGTCCTTGCCTCTGGCCCATGTCCAACCTAGGATGAGTGCTCCCCTGAAAACCCTAGGATGGGGTAGTGGGTGGCATAGACGAGGACAGAGGGTGCAGTCCCCTTCCCCTGCCTCTGATTGGGGCCCTGCAATCCCCCAGGATTTGGTGCTTGGAAAGCTGACGTTGGGTTGCTATGGTGATGGGTTTGGGGCGGTTGCCATGGCAGCGGAACTAGCCTAGGTTTAAAAATATCTAGGAGGAGGTTTGTGTTTGTGTGTGAGTGTGAGTGCGTGACCGACCGTGCTGTTGTGTGTGTCCAAACGGGAGGATTTGCAAGGGGTGGGTGGGGCCGGGGCTGCAGGCATGATGGGGGGGGATGCTGAGCCACACAGCACTCCATGTGTGTCGTGTGGCCCGAGAGGTCCGATCATTGTGTATGTTAAGCTTAGGTATATAAATTTGTGTGATCAAGGCGGTTCATCAGTCTATACAGCTCATGTCACTAACATGTATGTCTTATGTAACATAGGCGATGCGTGTCTATAGCTTTAATCACATCATATAACTTTTCAGGGCTCTGGGGCCACACATGAGATTGTGAATCTGAACGTGTGCACCTGGATATTAGGTGTGACTGCCTTGATATTAGATATGCATCTCTTTATCTGCGTGTGTTAGTGTATGATGTGGCTTTGGGTCCACATGACTGAATGTGCATTTGAGGTGAGTATGGGTGGGTGTGTGTGTGTGTGTGTGTGTGTGCAAGCGCACGCGCACGGTGGGTCCCCTGGGAGTTTTCATCCATCCATCAGTGAGCTTGTGTGAAACTGTGTCGAGTCCGTGCACCTGTGTATCCACAGGTCTTGTGTGTATGTGAGGGGGGACCTTCACCCCCAACTCCATGGACACTGGGATATGTACCTGTGTGGCATGAGTCTCCCCGCCTAAGAGGGCCTAAGGTGTAGATCTCAGCCTGACCTCAGTACCTCCCTGCATCCCTCTCGCCTCTTCCCTGTCTCCATGACAACCAGCTCCTCAGCTCCCTCCAGGAAGATAGAGGGGGAGGATCCAGACTGCAGTGGACCACAACCCCCTCCCATCCCCCTTGGCTCCAGGGACAATGAGGGGGAGGGGACAGATGGGCGGCCACCCCATCCACCCCAGGCCATCTGCTCCCCCCCCATTCTGGGGACCTGAGAGTGTAGCAAGGGAGGGGCAGGTGGGATGGAGCAGATCCCAGAGCCACAGACCCCCACAGCTGCCACAATTATTCTCACCCAGGCCCCCTCTGAGCCTAACCTTGCCTCTGGCCAAACTAGGAGGGAAGGAATCCTTGGAGACCAGGAATCTAGGAGAAGATAATTCATGTATCAGAGAACACAGACTACTATCAATGATCTCATTCCAAAGAAGAACCCGCTCCTTCCCATGACTTCAGGCTGCAAACTTAAGCTTGTCCTCTGTTCAAAATTCCAGTTTTCCCTCTGTCTAGCTGTGTGCCTCTGAACAAGTCACACTCCACGTCCCGAGACCTCCACTTTGTCATCTGAAAAATCAGAATTTCTCACTGACCTGAATGGTAATACTCTTCAAGGGCCCAAACTGGGTTTTGTGCCCTGTTGGGTCCTGGAGTCTCAGTCCTTAGCAGCTGGCCCACAAGCACTGCCGATGGAAGTTGTGTACCAGCCTCAGGGCTACATGTTTTAACTCAGGCACTTACTGAATTCAGTTCCCTGGGTCTATGTAGCAACCTCGTGTTGATTCTTCATGGGATAGACGCGAGGTTTGAAAGGGAAATCCCATGATGTCGGGGTTAGGAGACATTAAAAAATTAAATGTATTTTGACCAAGTGAGGTCAAGTCCCTTGGATTCAGTTTCCTCATCTGTAAAATGGGAGTTATAAAAGTCCTTCACAATATTGTTTGCTCTGGGATTAAATGCGATAAATGTGAAGTGCTTACTTAGAATCAGTCCTGGCACTTAATACGTGCTCAAGAAATGCTCATTAAAGGTGAGGGTGGAGAAGGCGTGGAGGAGCCCAGAGTCCTTATTATATCCTGGGGGGAAATCGGGTCCCTAGCTCCCCCGCTGTGATGGGCGTGGCTAACCCAGAGGGACGTGGCCCAGACTTCAAGGGTGGACCAATGGGGGTGCCGAAGGGCGTGGCCCTGACCGGCATGGGCGTGACCTTGCGCGTGTGGGAGGGGCCAGGCCGCTGTGGGAGCCTCCGGGAAGAAGATGCTCGGGCCAGCAGCCACCGCCAGCCCAGTCGCCGCTGCCACCCGCGCCCGCCGCCCCCCGGGCCCCCACTAGCGGCCGCCTCCGCTTCCCTCCTCCGGCCCCCCGCCCCGAGCAGGGCCTGGGGGGCTCGGCCCTCCGCCCCGGGTAGCAAAGAAGGGGGGATCCTGTCCCCCCAGTGGCGCGGCCAGTTCCCGGCCTCCGTGATCTTGAGAGAGACCCCACCCCTCAGTTCTCTCCGGGCTCTGTCGGAGACCCCCTCTGCCCTCCCATCCCGCTCACATCCGCTCTCCAAGCTCTGTCACCCCCCAGAACCAGCTCCCTCCCTCCTTCCCTCTCCGGGGTTCCCCCTCCCCCATCCATCCGCCGCCCCCTCCCCCTCCCACATCCCCTTCCCTCCCCCTCCCCCGTCCCCCGTCCCCCGCCCCCCCACCATGAGGATGATGGCCGCCGGCGCGGTGCACGGCCTCTTCACGGCCTCCGCGGCCCCGCAGCCGCCGCCGCCCCCGCCGCCGCCGCCGCCGCAACCCCAGCCTCCCCAGCAGCCGTCGCCGCCGCCACAGCAGCCGCCGCCGCCGCCGCCGCAGCCGCCGCAGCAGCAGCAGCCGCCGCCCCAGGCCCCCCCCATGGAGCCCGAGGCCCCGGATTCCCGCAAGAGGCCCCTCGAAACGCCCCCCGAGGTGGTCTGCACCAAGCGCAGCAACACGGGAGGTGAGGAAGGGCTGCGCTCGGCGGGGCGCGGGCGGGGGCCTCGCCTTTCTCGGCCTCCCCCTCCCCTGGCAGGTGCACGGGCTCTGGGGAGGGAGGGGCGCCCCTCCCGTGGCGGGGGCAGGGGGAGCTGGGGAGGAGGCCGGACCCCCTCCTCCTCTCGCCGCGGCCGGGCAGGGAGCTTTGTCTTCGATGAGAGGGGTTGGGGGGAGGGGGTGGCGAGTGTCCTTGGGGGGGCGCGGAGGATGGGGGGCATGGGTTCCTCTGGGAGGGTGTCTGCGTGTCCTTGAGGGGTGTGTGATGTGACCCTTTCAGGGCAGGGGTGTTCCCCGGCTTGCGTGTCTTGGCTGGGGGAGGGGAAGGAGTAAAGGAGGCCTACGGACCCGGACCCGGAGCTTCCCAGCCTCGCTCTCTGGGGATGTCCTGAGCAAGGGTTGTCCCGAAGGGAGGGATGTGTGGGCCACAGTGGGGATTGTGCGTGGGGACAGGCGAGGTGGGTGTGTTGGGTGACATAGAGGAAAGGGCGGGTGTGTAAAGCTGGGTGGGAGAATGTGAGTCTAGGACAGGTGTGTGTGTGTGTGTGGGTCTGTGTGGGCCCTGCAAGGCCTGGATATGTGACATTAGGGATCATGACAGGATAGAAGGTGTGTGTGTGTGTGTGTGTAAGAAACAGGACTAAATAAGAAGGACTGGGCTCCACGGTTGAGACCCTCAATTAGCACATGTGACAGTGGACAGTGCATGCTTGTCACCCCAGAGGAGCTGTGGTGGACTGTGACACATGAGTGAGAGGGTGTGTGTGACATGCAAGGGGGTGTGTGGGGGACATGAAATGGGATGGCCCTGGGCATGAGCCAGGAGAGGCTGCGTGGATCAAGGAATGGGTTTCTGTGTGTGTGATACAAGCATGCACGGGGCGGGTGGGACCAGAAGCTGGTGAGGGGATGTGACAAGAAAAGGGTGTGGGTGTGACTCCAGAGAGGCTGTGGCTGGGTCTGACACATGGAGGTGTGCAACAGTGACATCAGAGGGGGTGTGTGCGACAGGGGAAGGTGGGTGTATGAGAAGGGAGGGGCTGGGCTTGTGGGTGAAACGCACGAGGGTGTGTAAGGAGGAAAGGGGAGGACTATCCCCCAGGAACCAGGACCAGGGGAGGTGTGTATAACACCCTGGGGGGCAAGGTGTGTGAATGTGCAACAAGGGAAGGGTGTGTGTGAAAAGGCTGGTGTATGACACCAGAGATGTGGAGTGATTCTGTGTGTGTGACAAGGGACAGCATGTGTATGCGTGTGTGTGTAAGGTAAAAAGGTTTGATGTCACAGAGGTGTGTCTGTGACACAAGAAGGGCCCTTTCTGTGTGTGACCGTGTAAATGTGTGGTGGACCAGAGAAGCCAAGCTGGGGACCAAGCGCTTGCCTTGCTGGAGGGGGTGCAGGGCTTTCGGGGTTCTCAGCCCAGCACTCCAGCTCCCTGGAAGGAGGGAGACCCCTGAGCAGACAAGCCCCACCCCGCGGTCACCTTGGCCAAAATCTCCACTTCCTCTGGCCTTTTCCTCCGGATGGGAAAGGGATGGCCTCCGGCAGAGTGCACCCTTCCCTTTGCCTGGCTCCGGGTGGGTGGGGCGAGGGCCTCCCACCTCCTTCCCTAGATGAATACCAGCCGGTCCATCCAGGTAGGGCAGGATCGGGGACCCCCTGGATGCCTGGGAGGGTGTCCAGCAGAAATTGGAGGAAAGGGAAGTTGGGGGAAGGGTAGGAGGGAGTTTCCTGTCCTTCTTCCTGCACCCCCACCCCCAACACACACATGAATGTGTCCCCGCCAACTTCCTTCCCTTCTTCCTGCCCCACTGCCATTCCCAGTCCCGGAGAGGATCAGGGACCTCCTAGGTCCCTGAGCCAGCCTGGCTGACCAGCTCTCTTCCTTGGGGTGGGGGCTTCCACCATTGTCTTAAAGGGGCTGAGATGCTCCAAATCTGATGGCTCACGGCAGACTGTAACAATGCTGCTGCTAAAGACTGTCACCTTCACCTGCATGGCCCCTACTGTGAGGCAGGCTCTGAGACACGGTGAACTTCTCAACAGAACCCTTGGGAGCTGGGAATGTGGCTCAGTGGTAGAGGCTAGGCTGTGCTAGGCCCCGGGTTCAACCCACAGCACTGAAAAAACAAACAACAAACAAAAGAACCCTCGGGAGACATGCTTTGAACTGCTTTTTCACAGATGAGGAAACTGAGGTTCAGCAAAATGCAACCACTTGCCCGAGGTCACACAGCTCCTAAGCCCTGGGATGCTGGTTCCAGGGCACACGTACTTGCCCGCTGGGCTGGCCTGCCTGTCTTGCCCGTGGTGAAACTAGGATGAGCCTATAGGGACCATCTCTTCCAGGTGTCCTCCAGTTCCCTCTCCAGGGCACCCTTGGGGAAACTGAGGCCAGGAGATGAAAAGGGATGGAAATACTCAAGAGCAGGGCAAGCGAGGGTCTAGGGCTTTGACCTCAAAACCAAAGACTCCTTTCAATAATGGACCTTCATAACAGGGAGGCTGGGTCAACCCGTCCTCTTTTCCAAGGTTCAGTGTCCCCATCTGCCAAATGGGGATCTCACAGTAACCCTAGTGATGATGTAGTAATAGTTATCAATATTCTTGTTTAATGCTTTACATGGAATTTCATTTAATTCTCCCAGTGCTTTATAATGTGCTGATGATGATGTTGATAATAATAATAATAATAAATTACAACAATGGCTAAATTATAGTAATGCTGTTAAAATGTGCCAGGAAGTATTATGGAATGTGCTTAACACAGATCATTTAATCCTTACAGCAATTCTATTCTATTACCCATATTACAGATGAAAAACTGAGGCCCAGAAAGGTCAAGTTCCTTGCCCATGTCTGTCTATAAGAAGCAGAGCTGTGATTTGAATTCAGCAGGCCGGCTCCGTGGTGTGGTTACACACTATAGTGAACCGTGTGTTCAGATAGGGAAACTGAGGCTCACGGTGGTGAGGAGCTTTTCTAGGGTGTCACAGCAAGTAGTGGCAGACTGGATAGAGCCAGCTCTTGCCCTCACTACCAGCCTGTCCCTCCTGCTTGTTCCTGAGAGCGGATGCGAGGAACAGAGGAGATGGTGACTATTCTGACTTCCTAGCACTAGTCTGGTTGACAGACACTGTTGGGAAGAAGGGGGAGGCATCAGGGCAAGAGGGCTTGGCCAAGAGGTTGAGTGGAAACCTGGCCTGGCCGGGGAGTCATCTGAGAAATAAAGGACCCCTGTCTGGTGGGACAATAATAAAGAGTGTCCCCAAAGTACATATCATAACTCCTAAACTGCAACTACAGTTGTCCCCATGACCTGACTATATTCCAACCTCTTTTGCTCCCTTGGCCACCAAAATACAGAAGGGAAAAAAAATACTCATTTCTTTTACTCCAGACACAGCCTACAGCAGCCAGGTCCTACCTTTCATACTCTTTAACACAAAGACAGTGTCACCAGGGCAGGGCCCTCGAATGAGCCCTTTCAGTGTTCAACTCTGTGGCTGTCAGGTGCTTGGCAAGGGACCCTCAGGCAAGTTATTTTGTGGTTCTGAGCCTCGGTTTCCCTGTGGGGAAGATGGGGACAGGAAGATTGACCTCTCTGGTGGTTGAGTGTGTTCAGTGAGATAGTGTACATCCAGGGCAGGGCACGCAGCCTGGCCGGTGGTAGTTGTTCCGGATACAATAGTCATCTTCGTTGTTGCCATCAGTGCCACCAAGGATGGGATAATATTCTTTTTTTTTCTGCCATTGATTAGAGATTCACCCCAAGGAAATCGCACCCCTGCACCCTCCTCTCTATCAGTGACAGCCGCAGCTCCAGCCACCGTCCCACCTTTCTGCTCCCCATCCCTACAGAAGCGCGGTCCAGTTGTTCTGCATTTTGCACACAGACAAGCACATCAGCCTTTACAGAGAGACTCTCCACTCCCGCACCACACCCTTGCCATCTCTGTCTTTCACCAGTGACATCCCCACATGCTCCCAATGACAACGCCAGCCTCACATCCCAGCCTCTTCCTAACAGTAGAACAGGCCAACTCTCCCATTCCCAGCCCTCAAGCAACAGCGGGCACCTAAAACAGCACTCCAACTTTGGTTCCCTCCAGATGTATTGCCACCAGAAACAACTCCTTCACGACACTCAGGTCTTGGGCTCCACTTTTGTCCTTAGTGATCTCCACACAGATCCAAGTCCTCCACAGGGTCAACTCTATGACATCCACACTGAGACACCCCAAATCTCTTGGGTGGAAAGACATTATTTGCGGGTGGAGAGGAGTACTGGTGGGTTTTTTGGAGGCCTCCAGAAGCATCCCAAAGGGACGTAGTCACACAGGGGAGGAGGAGGCCAGAGAATCAGTGACTTGAAGGGGAAAGACGGCCCAGCCTCCTTCCAAGGTAAAAGTGCTCCAGATTGCGGAGAAAGGGAGACAGGCCCATCTGGGCAGATGCAGTTGTCATCTTCAGGTTGCCAGTCACTGTCAGGGGGTCAAAGGAGCTGTCTGGACCCCAAGAGGGAAGCTAAGAGAGGGCTGGGAGTGGGTGGGGTGGAGTTCTGGCAACTAGATTCTGCCTCTGCAGAAGGAAGAACTTTCTCACAGGCGGAGAAAGTTCAGACTTGGTTGTTGCAACAGGATAGGAGCCAGTGACAGTGACGTCTGGGGACTCCGAGTTCAGCTGAGGTCATGTCTCTGCCCTTGCTACAAGGAAGGCTGGGAAATAGAGGCTTGGCCTCTCCCCAGCAGAGGTGGGATGCACATGCGGGAAACACCCCCAAACAGGAAGGATGTACGGAAGATTCTAAAAAGGACCAGAAGTAGACTGATGTCCACTGTGGGGACTCTGGGACTTGGAGTTCTGAGTTTCTGCAGGCAGAAGGTCTCAGCTCATCCCTCTCCATAGCAGACTGGCATGAGAAAGAAAGGAACCAGAAAGGTGTCTAGGAAGGAGAGTAGGGACAGGATGTCCATTTTATCTGCGAGAGGACATTTCTCCTCCAAGAAGCAGGTGAAGCCTGGGGATCGGTGATGAAACAAGTGGGGTATCCCCTCTTCCTCTACCTCTCAACAAAAGCCCCAAGCCTTCCAGTGGTTTCCCCATTGATAGGTCACGCTGCACTGAACACTGTGATAATATTTTGCTTGTGTTCATGAAGTGGATAATAATAATAATGATAATAATGATATCTGACATTTCCCAAGCCTCTGTGTGCCCCGGATCATCCTGAGTACTTTCCATTTCATAGCTTGGTGAATCACCATGGCCCTGAGCAGTGATCACGTTCTCCATTTTATGGATGGGGAAACTGAGGCCCAAAGAGGTGAGGAAACTTGCCGGCAGCCACACAGCCATCAGTGACAAAATCCACAGTTGGTCTAGGGGAATGTCTGCCATTTCATATGGACATTCTCAGACAAAACTCAGGGAAAATGAGAGAGGAAGCGGAGAATGGGGAGAGGGAGTCCCAGTTCTCTTCAGAGCAGATGAATGCCTTTCACCCTCAAGGAGAAGTGGGGGGGAAGGAAGGGGAGAGAACGTGAAGGGGTCCCAAGTATTGCTGAGAACTGCCTCCCCATCTTACTGAGCCTCCTGTGACAGGTGTAGGGGTGGGGAAGAGGGGACACCTCTGTGAGCCCTGGGGAGAAAGTGATGGGGGGGGTCAGGATGATGGATGGGGAGGCACCCTGGGGGTAGATCTCCTAATGGGCTTAACTTTCTGATGAGGCAGTTTTCAAAGAGGATTGCCCTGGGCTCAGGGAAACCCCTTTATTCCGGACCCCTCCCTACCCTGCAGGTCCACATCCAGCCCCACTCCCCACAGCCCCATCCTGACCAGTCAGGGAACCCCGACCTTCACTCTTAAGGGAACAGGCGCCAGCTTCCACCCTTGGCCCTTCTTTAGAGTTCTCCTCCTCCTCCTCCTCTTTTCCTCTTCCTCTTCCTCTTTCTGGGGATGGAACTCAGGTAGGCTAGGTCTCTGCCACGGAGCCAGACCCCAGGCCCTATATTGGGATTTCATGTGAACCACTGAAAATGGGCTTTTTCTGCTTAAAAGAAAAAGTTTGTTTTTTTGTTTTTTTGGTTTTTTTTAGGGAATTGTTTGAGGCCTTAAGTTTTAAAAAGCAGAGTGGCCTGACCCCCTTCCTTTTCCCAGTGTTCATTTGAGCTCTATCCATGTGGTCCACTGTGGACCTCTGTGATAAATTGCTCAGAAGACATAAAACAGGGGTCTTTCTCATTCTCAAGGTTCAAGGAAATCTTCCAAGAAGCAATATTTGAGTGGAGTCCTAAAGGACAAAAGGGAGATGGGAATGCTGGGAGAGAAAGTGCAAAGGCCCTGGGGTGGGAGGGAGCAGTGAACATTTGAGAAACAAAAAGGACAGTGAGTCTGGTTCCTGTAGAGGGAGATGAGGAAATGAAGTGGGAAAAGTGGGAGGAGCCAAAATATAGTGTCTTCTACTGAGAGGGCTCCAGAATTTCTACCCTGGGAGCACAAGGGGCAACAGTTTGGTTAGATGGTAAGAGAGGTTAGGACTCGCTTGGAGGCTGCATTTAAAAAAGTGCGGTAGGTGTAGCCAGTTGGTCTATAAGAAAGAAAGACCAAAGCCCCAACCACTGGCACCACTTCTAGATCTTTCAGGCTGACATGGAACTGTGGGTCTTTAGCTACCACCAGGGGAGGGTGTGAGGCAAGGGTGAGCCACAGCAGAACCGAATTGGATTGGAAACAACCTGGCAACTGTCTCGGTACCCTGAGGCTGGTGCCCTCACTTCTCTGTGCCCCTCTGTGCCTCAGTTTCCTCTTGTGTAGAAATGGAGCTCATTCTTTGCTTCTCAAGGGGGGGCCGTGAGGGAGCCATCAGAGCAGCCTTGCTGAGCACTGGTCAAAAGTAAGGGTTTGGAACATCTCCAGGGCTGGCCCTCTCCACCTCCCACCCCAGCAATGAGACCACTGTCACCTCCCATCTGGACCATGGCTGTCACCTCCTCTCGGGACATGCAGCTGTTGCTCTTGCTTCTCACATCCCTCCAAGGCCCCCATCTCACTTGGAGTAAGAGCCCCAGATGCGGTCCAGAGCTTCAACCCCCCCTAGCAGCCCCCTGCTCTCGCTCCTCCCATGAACCCATCTCCCCCCCCAGCCAGACTCAGCCCTTCTTGCTCCTTTCCAACATCCACACACTGTGCCACCCCAGGGCCTTTGCAACTTGCTCACATGCCACATAGCCACATGGTCCTGTCCCTTCCTCTAGAGCCTGATGGTTCCCAACACAGACTCCAGGGCCAGGTTGAGTCCAGACCTGAGCCCCGCCCCCTCCTCTCTCTGAGCTTCAGCAACATCTTCACCTTTGTTTCCTCATCTGTAGAATGGATCTCTAAATAACGCTTCCCCCATAAAACCAGGGTAAAAATCAGAAGGACTGGTATTTGTAAGGGACTTGGAACAGAGCCTAGTGCGTCGCAGGTGCTGTGGCAGCGAGTGATGGATAAGGAGTGGCACACTCCTGGGAAGGGCTTTCCTGGCCTCCGTATCTGACATCACAGCCGCTACACCCTCCCGTCCCCTTTCCCTGCCTCTTGGACTCTCAGTACTTACAACCATGTGACATGAAATAGAGTCTGTCTCCCCCTCCTGAAGAGTGTAGCTCTATGTGCTCTCGGCTGAATCACTGAAATTCTTCCAGCCTTATGTGCCCGCAAAATCAGGGGCTGTTTCCCCAAACTGGTGCCAAGCACAGAGTAGCCAGAGCTTAGGCTCGATTTCTTGAATAAATGAATGAATGAATGGATGGGTGAATGGAGCTCGGGCTGGGTGTTCTCTTCTTCCCCGCTCCTTTCATGGTATTGCTCCTGTGTCACTGTGATTTCCCCAGCCACCCATGCTGGGGCCTCCCGGGAATGACTCCCCTCTACCCTGTGTGCTCCTGCAGAGGAAGGTGAATACTTCCTGAAGGTGCTCATCCCCAGCTACGCAGCTGGCTCCATCATCGGCAAGGGCGGGCAGACCATCGTGCAGCTGCAGAAGGAGACGGGAGCCACCATCAAACTGTCCAAGTCCAAAGACTTCTACCCTGGTGAGCCCTGGCCCGGTCTCTGCCCTGGGCCTCCCTCTCTTCCTCCTTCCCTTCCACCTGGGCCCTGGATGAGGAAGAAGGGCTCCCCTAGGGGCTGGGAGAGTGATGGGGGGCCTCCCCTTCCTCCCCCTAAGGGAGCAGAGCTGCCCCCAGCCCAAGCAGCCTGGCCTGAGCAGATGGGGGTGGGGGCAGGGCCAGACAATAGGCCTGCTGCATATTCATGGACTCATTTGCATGATGTGCTGGCAGATGTGTCCCTTCCCACACACCTGCCCCCTCGGGTCAGTTGGAGGAGCTAGGGTGGGGAGGGAGGCAGGTGCCAGGGTGTCCCTCCGGGCTCGGGGCCAGGCGTCCGTGTTACTGTACCCCCACTCTTTCCCTTTGGATTTGTCACCCCATCTTGCCCATCTCCATCTCACGACTCTCCCCTCCATGGCTCCTGATGTGCCCCTTCCTCCTACTGTTCCAGCTTCTCTCCTTCCCCTCCGCCCCTCTCTGCCTCCTCCTGCCCCTCCGTGTGCCTCTCTGTCTCTCTGCCCCTCTCCTGTCCTCTGAGGCTGCATCCCTTCTGCCTGCCCCTTTCCCTCTCCCACCTCCCCCTTTTCCTTTCCCTCCACCCCTCAGGGTCGCCCCCTTTCTTCCTCCCTTCTCTGAACTCTGCATTCATCCACTCGGCGACGCTTAGCAACACCTGCCATGGGGTCCTCTCTGCCCGTCCCCTCGTCCCCTCGCTGGCTTCTGCTCCCTCTTGCCACCTCTCCCTTTATGTTTCTTTCTCCTGAGTCTCAGCTCCTACACTCTGTTCTCTCCTCCCTCCCACCCAGCCCCTTCTCTACTCCACTCTGTCTCCATCTCAGTGTCCACAACCCTTCGTTTTTAAAGGTTCCTCTGCTTTCTCTAACCCCCCTCAGTATTTCTCCATATCTCCCTCCCAAGGCCAGTGTCTGAGCTTCAATATCTAGGAATCCAGGGAAGGCCCCCAAATTATATCTGTGGTCCAGCGCTGGTTCTGGTTCATTCTTAATCCCCTTGGAGTTTTTTAGGTCAAACACCAGAGATGGAACGCAGGGTTAGGATACATTCATTTCTCTCTCTCTCTCTCTCTCTCTCTCTCTCTCTCTCTCTCTCTCCTCACCCCCACTCTCTCCTGCTCTCCCTCTCTTTCTCCTGCCCCTCCCTGCATCCCTCCCTCCCATGTCACTAAGCACCTTTGGCAAAGAGTTTAGAGAAAAATCTAGTGGCCCAGGCACAGCATCCCGTTTTCTCTTCCACCCTGGCCCAGTTTCCCTGTGCCTCTCTAGCCCACAAGATGTCGATAAGACTTCTGCTTAGGATAGTCATCCGAGGACACTTGGTTCCTGGCCCTGGATTGCATTCTGTGCCACGATGTCATCCACTCCCAGCTCAATGATCTGCCCCACAAGCCAGGCTGCTAAGAAACCCAGAAAATGGGACGGGCCTTGGTTCTTTGAGACCAAACACTACACAGATGGCAACATGAACCAGGTCTCTCCCCAGCCCCTGGACAAGCAGCCGGTCCCCACTCCTGAGCTGGAACATCCAAATCACACAGCCTGTGCCAGCTCCTGCCTCGGAGATGCAGGGCACGGCTCCCTACAGTCTCAAGCATTTTCCAGGGTCCACAGGAACACAGGAAGTGCAAATGCTACTGCATGAGACAAAGAGCATATTTCCCTCCATTCCTGGGTGACATCCTTTCATTGGTTCATTCAGCAAACATCCTCTGAGCACCTTTCTATGCCAGCCCTGGGCTGGACAGAGATGGGGCACAGTGAGACTGAGGGTCCCAGCCTTTGTCTCTTGGACCTCATGCCTAGTCAGGAGACAAAGGCCACACGTGACAGCCCAGAGTGTCCAGGACTGGAATGGGGAAGCCCAGGGAGGTCAGGAAAGGAAGTCCAGACAAATAAGTGAGCTGTGAACTAGGGAAAGAGCAGAGAAGGACACTCCAGGAAGAAGAAGTCGCACGTTTAAAGGCTGAGAAGTCATTTGTTGCTCACTGTGGCTGAGGCCTAGAGAGCAAGTGACAAACGACAGTGGGAAAGCCGAGAGGGTCCTCTGGGCCTCACAGGTTCACACACACACCCACACACACACACACACTCACCCCTAAACCCTGCACTGTGTCTGGAAGAACACACAAAGGGCATCCCCTTCTCGATAATGGATCCCAAAGCTCCAGGTTCAATCCTTCCCACTCTTGGAGAAACCAAGACCTAGAAATAAGCAAGTGTCTGCCCAAGGCCTCGCAGACTGCTCCCCAGCCAGACTTCCCAGATGAGAACAGCTTCTGAGCACCCGTCTGTAGCTCTGGATTAAGTTCCAGGGGAAAAGCATGACTCGCGCTGCTGATTGTCCTCACAGTTTTTATTAATTTATAACGTACTTGCGTCAAAGTACAAAGTCATAAGTGCCTCCTTAAATTCACACATATTCTTTCTTAACATTAAAAACAAAAACAAAACTACAGTCATTTATTGCCCCCAACCCATACACTTAGAGCTACTCACTCATGAACCCCAAAATCAGCAGCGGGGAGCAGAGTGGTTAAGACTCTATAGACTCTAAAGCTAGATATCTGGGTTAAAAACCTAATTGTTCCGAGTGAACTTGGACAAGATCCAAACCCTTTCTGTGCCTCAGTGTCCTCAGCAGGAAATTGGGGGCAATAAAACTGCCCATCTTGTATTTTAAGTGGATAAATATATGCAAGGGCTTAAAATGGTACCTGGTGCTTAGCCTTATATAATCACCAGCTGTTACTATGAACGCTTTTTCAGAGTTTTACTGGGTCCCCTGAAAAACCCCTCAGACCCCAGGTTAAGGACTACAGGGGACAGGAGGTCACAGACTCATAGAATTGGAAGGAAGCCTGGCCACTGCAGCCAGGCTCTCCCTGGGGCCTCCTGGGGCTTCCCCCTCCCCTCTGTCCCCTGCTCCATCCCGGTTCCAGCCCAACCCACACCCTTTCCTATTTACACCCAGACCGAGGCAGCCTGCGCTGACTCACCCTGGCTCAGACCAAGCTATTGTTCTGGGGTGGAGGGAGCAAGGGTGAGGATTGTGCCCCAAAGCGGGTGGGGGCTTTCAGCCACACAAGTGACCCTCAGGCAGTGACACCCGGGCACATGGCAAGGTCAGCATGCCAGGCTGAGCAATAGCAAGCGAGAGGTCAGGGTTGCAGCACCAGCACCCTGCACAGAAGTGCTGGACAGACAGTGGCACTCGCTGCCAAGTGTCCCAGACACAGGCACACACAGAACCTGGCATACCTTCAAGACCTTTTCCAAATCCAGGGAAACCCAGTCCTTCAGACAGAGCCCACAACCCTGGGGAGATGGACACATCCTCCCTTCACCCATCAAACACCGGCCTCACTGTGATGGTCACATGCTCACACAGCCCGGTCACAGCCAGTCTTCTTTGTCCAGCTGTAATACACACTGGGACACACGCACGTCACAAGCACACCTGCCATCCCAACAGTCTCACCTGAGTCGGCCCCTCTCTGTCTTTCTCTCTCCCCATGATCACACACGCCAGTCAGAGGGTCATGTGCACAGAGACACAAACCACACACCAGTCATCCAGATAGTCTGTGAACACTGGAGGTGGGGACATGTTTCTCTTGCTTTTACAGATGCAGACACACCCACCACCAATGAAGGGCACACCCGTCAACAGCCTCAGTGCCGCTTTGTGACATTCTTTGTTTCTTTCTCTCACACACACTCAGCTCAGTCTTACAAATAGTGTACAGGTCACCACTCGACACCAAAATCTTTCCTACGCACAAGGGTGCACCCAGGCCTTGTTACCGGAAGGAGTCACTGTGTCGCATAGGCCGTTTCCATCGCAGCCGCTCCTGTTCTTTCTCTTATACTCACAAACACCGATTCAGGTGATCTAGCCTGTCCAGCCCAAGCACACACAAGCACACACACCACCCACCCCAGGCAGCCTCACAGGTACACACACAGTCACAACGTCACCCAGAGTCTCTCTCCCCCACACATATACCCCAACACCACCCAGCTTCTTTTTCCTGTGCCCTACCCAGAACACACACACAGAAGTGAGGAGGGTGCCCAGGTCAGAACCGCAGCCTGAAACCTGGAGGGTATCCAGCAAACACATCACCCCACTCCCCTTTCCCAGCCCCTCAGGCTCCACGGCTCCAAGAGTTGCCTTTGACCCATCGGGCTCTTCCCTATCCACACCCCTGCCCTCCCCCACCCCTCAGCCCTCCATCTGGTGGGTCCAGGCAGGCACTCAGGCCTCTCTTCTGCCTCCCCCATCCCCCAGCCCTTCCCCATCCTCTCCAAAAGCCCAGAGGCCTGCGCTGCAGGCTTTCAGGGGTTGCCATGGCAACGGGGCCTCGTCCCTCATCCCCCTGGGGGTGGGCTGAGGACCTGGCCAGCCAGACCGATAAGGGGGTTCCAGTTACTGTGGCAACCGCTGCAGGCCTGAGTGCTCTGCTTCTAGAAGGAGGGGGCCAGTGAGTGAATGGTTGCCAAAGCAACCGGGGAGCCCGCAAGAACTGGGAAGAGGCAGCTGAGCCCTGTCTCCCCTGCCCAGGGCTGCTGTGGGCATCCTGGAGCACTTAAGCATCATTCTTCCATTCCCCAGAGTTGTTTTAGGGGAGGGAGATAAAGTGTAGATTATAAAACAAGGATTCCATTCATTTTCCCAGTTACCCATCGTGGCCTGAGTACCCATTCCAGCTTGCCCAGATTCACTGTGTGGCCTAGAAACAGGTCCGCTCCCTGGACCTCAGTTTTCCCGTCCGTTAAGTGGGGCCTGTCTCTCAGGAATGTCCCCATTCCTGTCTGATGAGTGTGCCCTCTCTCTCCCTTGCTCAACAGGAACCACAGAGCGGGTATGCCTAGTACAGGGCACAGCAGAGGCCTTGAATGCTGTGCACAGCTTTATTGCCGAGAAGGTCCGAGAAATCCCTCAAGCGATGACCAAGCCTGAGGTGGTCAACATCCTTCAACCCCAAACCACGATGAACCCCGACAGAGCCAAGCAGGTCAGCTGGGGCAGAGTGGGCTGCTGTAAAGCTGGTGAGGTTCAGGAGGCAACATTCCTCCCAGATGCCTGCACGAGAGTTCGAACCATTGGGACAATTCCCATTTAAAAAAAAAAAAAAAGTTTACCAAACACATGCCAGTGGTTCATATTATGAGGGAGTCAGCGCTACTAGTCTAGAAAGGAATTCAGACCACTTGGAGCGGGCTTGATGCTGAAGGAGTGAAGGCCTAGGGAGAATTTGGCGGGGACCCTCCCACTCATCCACCCTTCCTGAGATTCTCTAGATCCTCCTCTCCCACCTCATCCCATTGTCTCTCTGAGCAACCTGCCTCCGACTTCCTGTACTCACCGGAAGTGACCTCAGTGACAGCCCATTCCAAAAAAATTTAGAAATGGCCTCTTATTTTCCCTCCCTGATAATTACCATTATGGGGGCCGACTTGGTGCTTCGTTAGCGAGAGAGGGGGCGGGTCCCTGTCCTACTCAGCCCTCTCCAGGAAGGGCTGGGAGCGGGGAGGGCAACGCCCCTCCGTTGCCTCAGTTACCGGGCAGCGGTAGGGGCGTGGCAGGGAGCGGGCCAATCGCTTCCCGAGCCTCTCTGGTTGCCATGACGACGGTTCCCCTGGACAGGTGGGCTCCCAGTGAAGCCCTTAGTTGCGGTCCTGACCCGTAGTGGGCCAGGGGAGGAGGAGCACGGGGCTGGCTGCGCGCTTCCCGTTTTCTCTGCCCCCCTCACTCCCACGTACGTGCGCACCTAATGCGAAAGGAGAGAGGAGCCCTGCGCCGGCGGACAGGCGGCTGTCGGGAGTTCCTTCAAGTCCGCCTAGAAAGTAAAGACTGAGGCCAGGCAGCTGGGATTCTTGGGTCCTGGCATTACCTGAGGTGGGGGAGACCATGAACCTGAGTTCCAGCAAGTTCGTGGGGACATGGGGGACCGAGAACCTTGGAGGAGCGCTGCCGGGTAGATCGCTCCCCAAAAAGGACTGAGGGCTTGGGGCAGGGAGCGCGGCCGCTGTCCTTGGTGCTGAAGCGGCTCTGCTCCTCACGCCTTGCCAGGCCTCTCCTGAATCCCTTCCCACCAGCAGAGCACAGCTTGCTACCCACAGCTTACACAGGCGAGAGGATTGCCTCTTTCCTCCGCCTCGATCGTGGCCACAAGGGACTCAGGGTTCATCGAGAGTTTGTGGATGTTGCAGGGAAAATGGGGTCAGCACCATCTGTGCCTCAGCCTTCTAGCGCCTCCCCCTAATCCACAGGAACTCACACAGCAGAGTCAAGAGGTTACAGAACCAGGATTTATCCTCTGCCTTGTTATTCGAGGGTTCCAAAGAATGAGAGAGAGAATGACTGAAGGCCCAGACTCTGGAGTTAGATGTCAAACTGAGTCCTACTCTTTCTTACTTCCTGACCTTGGGCAAGACTTGATTTCTCCATGCCTTGTTTTTCTCATTTGTAAAATGAGATTCATTATGGTGCCTACTTAAGGGTGGTGGTTAATGTTCATTGATGTTTGAAAAGTACTTGGCATGTATGCCTACAGCATAGAAAGTTCCCCCCCCCAAAAAAATCCTTAGCTGTTGTTATGCCTATGGGATTTTTTAGTCAGAAGATAATGTCTCCTCCTTTTCTGCTTTGGACCTGCTATGTTACTCAGGGCCCCCTGCCCTTCTGCAGGTCTCGGTTTCTCTTTCTTTACAGTGTAGCATCTGGGTCACACCAGGGATTATAAACTGAAATGACTCCAAGAAAGGGAACATAAAAGATTAAGGACCATGGGCCCTCTGAAGAGGGAGCAGTCACTGCTCAATTCCACCCTGTCCATTCTTGTCCTTTGGGAATATGGACAGTGTTTCTATGTCCTCCAAACTTTTCAAAAGAAGCCACAAATCTCTAAAATCTACTGTTTTAAAAAGGTTGGCTCAATCTTTAAAACACTATGAAAGTCAAAGAAAATATGGCTATAGTCTGGCTGTGGCCTTAGGACCACCAGTTTACCACCTCTGGGCTGAACAAGTTGTTCTCAGCCCTGGCTAATATGGTAGCTTAGCATTCAGATTCCAAAGCCCCACCCCAGAACCGCTGGATCAGAATTTCTGGGAATGAGACCTGGGATCAGATCCTGACTCTACTACTCACTCCTGTGTCACCTTGCACAATTTACTTAACCTCTTTGTTACTCCATTTCCCAATCTAGAAAATGTGATAATAATAGAATCATAACAAACCTTATAGGTTCATTGTGCAATCTAAGTAAATTACTATTCAAAAAAGTTAGAAAAGTTCCTAGCAAATTCTAAGCCCTGTGTTTTCTGCTGCTGCTGTTAGTGTTTGTAATTTTCCTTGGAATTGCAGATCATCAGAGAAGATAGTCTCTGTGTTCCTCCTGCCTTTAAACCTCCTGAAGTTCTATGACTCTGTTATTTCAAGATTCTAGGCTTATATTCTAAGATTCTACCATTCTAGCATTCTGGGATACAAGATTCTATGGTCTGTGCCTGCAGCTCTCTCTAAGATGCTATGATACTACAATTCAGGGTCTATCATAAAGGCATCTGCCACTTTCTCGGGGCTTCCCATTTGCCAGGCATTGAAAAGTCACTTTATAGTCCCTAATTAATTATACAGGGCAGCTGAGGTTATGCCACTGTTGGACATGAGGAAACTGAGGCAAAGAAAGGTGAAAGTATTTGCCTAAGGTCACACAGTTAGAAGTACCAACTACAATTGGGACCTCGCTCTGTTGAGAAAATAGCAAAACAGTTAACATTGACTGAATGATTACCTTGGAGCAGGTCACCCATATCTCACTGAATGCCTGTCACAACTATGAATCAGGAATCATATGCCCATTTTACAGATGTAGAAAAGGAGAGAGTAGTAAAGGAACTTCACTAAACCATGCATATAAAACATCTATATTCATGTGATTTTTATTCAATTTCTTTTAAACTAATGCATAAAAACTTAAGAATTGTACATATTAATGGGATGCCATGTACATGTATACATTCTATACTATTTATAGTCAGTTTAAACATATCTATCTCCTTAAACATCTTTTCCTATTCAAAGTCCTTTCTCCCAGCTTTTTAAAAATATTTCTTTAGTTGTAAGTGGACACACCGCCTTTATTTTATTTATTTATTTTAATGCTGTGCTGAGGATCAAACCCAGTGCCTTACACATGCTAGGCAAGCACTCTGTCACTAAGCTACAGCCCCAGCCCTCTCCCAGTTTTTTGAAATATACAGTACATAATTGTTATTCACCCATAAGATTGTCAGCCGTTTTACTGAGACATAATTCACATACCTACAACTCACCAATTTGATGGGTACAGCCCAGTGGCTTTTGTTATAGTCACAGAGTTGTGGAGCCATTACCACAATTAATTTTAAAGCATTTTCCAAACCTCCAAAAGAAAAATTTTTGAGGAATCAAAACCAGAGTCTTGCATGTGCTAGGTGAATGCTCTACCACCAAATTGCCTCCCAAGCCAAAAAGAAACCTTCCTAAACTGTCACCCCTCAACCTCCCTGCTCTCCAGCTAACCCTTCTCTGTCCTCATGCCACCACTAATCTACTTTCTGTGTTTGTAGATTTGCCTATTCTGGACACATGTAAATGGCATCATAGACTATATGGTCAACCATCACTACCATCTAATTCCAGAATGTTTCCATCATCCCCAAAAGAAACCCTGTTCCTGTTAGCAATCACCCCCAGCCCCTCTCTCCCATCCCTTGGCAACCAAGAATCTACCTTTTGTCTCTGTGGGTTTGCAAAGTTCTGGACATTCTTGTGATTAGAATCCTATGTGGCCTTTTGTGACTAGCTCCTTTCACTTTGCATAATGTTTTCTAGATTTATCCTGCTGCGGTATGTATTGTATCAGTACTTTATTTGAATTTATTGCCAAATAATATTCCATTGCATGCATATACCACACATTTTATTTATCCCATGAGACCTTTTTAAATACAGGAGAAATAAAACAAAGGTTATTTGTTATAAAATCAGGTGAACTTTAATTTGTAAATATTCAACAGGGACTGCAGTAGAAGACATTATAAAATAGTCTCAGCTCACACCCAGACATAGCTGAGTGGTGCAGCTACTGAGGCAAAGTGACGTGGCGTGGAGTCCTGGAGACTTAAATGACAACAGTGGCATTCCTACTGATGTCAGGGTTTTGTAACACAATAGCCGGCCACTGGAAAAGTTCAGAACAAAGCAATCTCCCCTTGATTTACTGACGATTTCCATAGCTCAAAAATACTTAGGATGTATCACGGAGTTCTGTTCAGGACCCAGAGATTTATAAACTCTGGCATTTCACCAGCATGAATGTGCAACAGGACCTAGGACAGTTCTCCCCTGTGGGAAAATGGCCTTCAGCTGTGGGCTGTAGACACTGAGGGCCCTGCCCATTCAATGTCCACATCTGCCCCCAGTCCTCACAAACCAAGACTGCCCCTCACAAATTGCCCAATCCTCCTCCATAACTGGCTTGTGGGTGGAAAGGGGAGGCAGGGGTGTGAGCTCTAGTAGTGGTTGTGGGGGGTGGAGAATCCACAAATCTAAGGGGACATGGGAAGGATTTTTGAGAAGGAGAAATCTGTAGGCAGAAATGCTCTTTGAGGTTGCTGGGGATGTAGCTGGGTGGTAGAACGCTTGCCCAGCATGCTGGAGGGCCTGGTTACTATCCCCAGCCAAAGAAAAAAAGAAAGGGAGGGGGGGAAGGAAGAAGAAAGCTGTGCTCTTGGAGATGTGAAAGGGATTCTGGGTTTTAAAATATCCCCACTGGAATCAAGGTTGACCAGATTTGCAGCTGCTGGGATATGCAGGTAGCTGATGGGTGAGCTGCCCTGCAGCTGAAAAAGGAGCCACTATCTTCAAATGAGAGGCCTGCTTTGGAACTCACTGCCTTCTCAGACCTAAGGCTTTATGTTACCTTAATTTTACAGATAAAACCACTGAGTTTGCAAGCTAGGGCTGCCATAATGAAATACCAAAGACTAGGCATGGTTTGTGTGTTTGTGTCCTGGTCTTCTTCTAAAGACACCAGTCAGTGAATGAGGGACCACCCTGACGATCTCGTTTAACTTCATTATCTCTTTAAAAACGCTGTCTCCAAAACAGTCACATTCTCAAGTACTGTGGGTTCCAATTTTGACATAAGAATTTGCAGGGGGAGGGGAAGACACAGTTCAGTCCAGAACAACAAAGAGGTTAAGTGAGGAGACTGTGTCATAGAGTGGAAAACACAGGAAGCTGGGAGGCTGGACCTCAGCTCCTTCACTATCTGGGTGACCTTGGGGCATGTCCCTTTACTTCTGAAGCTTCAAGTGACTCATCTGTAAATCGAGACTTGAAGCTTTTACTAGGCATCAATCAGAGTGCTCAACAACAGAAGGTGGGGTCCTGGTGCAAGCTGGTGCCCATCCTGGCAGGCCCCCCCACTGGTCAGCCATTAAGCTTTTAGGTGCATAAATAGGGGAGGTACCTGGGGCCCCAGGGACATGGGACAGGGTGGCCGAGGGGCTACTGAGAGAACCTGGAATACCAGTTATTCATTTACCAACCATTAGGAAATCTTTCAGTATTTTTAACAGCTAGTGGGCCCGTCTTGGTACCTATTAAGGGGGCTTGCTGGGTTTGGGTTAGGGAGAACCGAGGCTGATTACCAGCACCAGAGCGGGGATAAAGGCAGGGGTGTGGGCTTGATCTTAGACCCTAGAAAGGAATGCTAGGAAGGAGGAGACTCCTCGGTCTCCAGTGCCACCATGAAGACCCTCCCTCTTTTCCCGTCACAGGCCAAGCTGATCGTCCCCAACAGCACTGCGGGCCTGATCATCGGCAAGGGGGGCGCCACGGTGAAAGCGGTCATGGAACAGTCGGGTGCGTGGGTGCAGCTGTCGCAGAAGCCCGAGGGCATCAACCTGCAGGAGCGCGTGGTGACGGTCAGCGGCGAACCCGAGCAGGTGCACAAGGCTGTGAGCGCCATCGTGCAGAAGGTACAGGAAGACCCCCAGAGCAGCAGCTGCCTCAACATCAGCTACGCCAATGTGGCTGGTCCCGTGGCCAACTCCAACCCCACCGGCTCGCCCTACGCCAGCCCGGCCGACGTGCTGCCGGCTGCGGCCGCCGCCTCCGCCGCCGCCGCCTCCGGCCTGCTGGGGCCCGCGGGGCTGGCGGGCGTGGGAGCCTTTCCCGCCGCGCTGCCCGCCTTCTCAGGCACCGACCTGCTGGCCATCAGCACGGCGCTTAACACGCTGGCCAGTTACGGCTACAACACCAACTCCCTGGGCCTGGGCCTCAACTCGGCCGCAGCCTCCGGCGTCCTGGCCGCAGTGGCCGCCGGTGCCAACCCTGCCGCCGCCGCCGCAGCCAACCTCCTGGCATCCTACGCGGGTGAGGCCGGGGCCGGGCCAGCCGGAGGGGCCGCCCCGCCGCCGCCGCCGCCACCCGGATCCCTGGGGTCCTTTGCATTGGCCGCGGCGGCCAATGGCTACCTCGGGGCCGGGGCAGGCGGTGGGGCCGGTGGAGGAGGTGGCCCGCTGGTGGCCGCGGCGGCCGCGGCAGGGGCGGCTGGGGGCTTCCTGACCGCAGAGAAGTTAGCCGCTGAGAGTGCCAAGGAGCTGGTGGAGATTGCGGTGCCTGAGAACCTGGTGGGAGCCATCCTGGGCAAGGGGGGCAAGACGTTGGTGGAGTACCAGGAGCTGACAGGCGCCCGCATCCAGATCTCCAAGAAGGGCGAGTTCCTGCCAGGCACGCGGAACCGGCGGGTCACCATCACGGGCAGCCCCGCGGCCACGCAAGCCGCTCAATACCTCATCAGCCAGCGGGTCACCTACGAGCAGGGGGTGAGGGCCTCAAACCCCCAGAAAGTGGGATGAGGCCTGTGGTGTGTGCGCCCACCCTTCTCCCTCCTCCACCTTCTCCTCCTTCCCTCCGCCTCCCCCAACTCCTGACCTCAGCTTGGTTAGTCCTGCTCCTCATGGGATGGGGCTGGGGTAGGCCTGACTGCACCCTCCCCTCTGGTAGTCATAGGCAGGATTGAGCGATGGCTGGGGAGGGGGCTCCTGAGCCCCCTCCCCAGCCCTGAGCTGACCCCTCCCCTCCCTGTGCTTGACTGGGCCTGACCCTCCTCTCCCAGGGCCCAGGTCTGTGTGATATCTGTATATATTGCATTTTGTTGATTTTAATAGAAAACAAAGCGTTATTTTCTCTTTCTTTCCCTCCTTTTTTTCTTTTTTCTCCCTTTTTCTTTTTTCTTTTCTTTTTATTTTATTTGTTTGGTAAGGATCCCCCCTTTATAACTTTTTGTTTCCATCTGGGAGGAGGGGAGGGTGCCTCTGGGTCACTTGGAATGAGGGGCCTCCCCAAAACACAACAGCCTGCCTCTCCACTTTCAGTTCTAGATCCCAGGGAAGTGATGGGAGTAGAGGTGGCCAAGGTGTCTGAGCCAAAATGGGGCACTTGGAGCAGGGACCCCAGAGGTCCCAGACTTCCTCAGCTACTGTGTCCCCACTGGAGTTGCCCCTTCTGGGTGGGATTTTTACCCTTTGGTTGTCAGGTTGACGGGGCTCAGGGATGGTGCTGGGGAAGGAGGTCAGCTCTGGGGTTCAGCTGGTCCTGTGAGCTTACGAGAGGCTGGAAAACCTTGCTGTGCCATCTTTGTGGCTTTTCCTTGAGTAATGGAAAGAAGGGTCCCTGTTGTATTGTTGCTGAGTCAAGTACTTTCTGGGCACTCCATATGATGTCACAGGAAGCAGTTCCCCAGAAGTCATTTCCTGTGATGATGAGAGACAAGTACTTATGAGGTCTCGATGAGCCCTTTCTTGAAGGTCACTTCAGTGATATCAGGGGGTATGGACTTCCTATGGAGTCTCAAGGTCACTTCCTGTGATGTCATTGGGATGCAGCATGTACTTCCTGTTTTGGACAATGGCTAGTCCCTGATGCTCCTTCTCCACCCACACTCCTCTTTGGTGAGTGTTGGACTGGGGGAATCTTCCTAGGAAGAGAATAAAGGGTGGGACTTGGATCCACTCTGGAGGATTCTAAGGAGTAAAAACAAAAAAGAATACTGTCAGGGTCATCTCCATCCAGACACCCCAAGGCTATGAATTCCCCTGGCAGGGAGAGGTGGGAGATGGACCTAGTGAAACTCATTGCTGAAGACCCCCATCCCACCCGTGCCCTCTCTGCGTGCCTGTATCTGTGTGGCTTTGTTTGGTTGACTCTGGTGAGCCATAAGTGCAGCTGCCCTGTCAGGCCAGCGTGGCCCTGTGTAGTTCGTGGAGCCACGGTAGGGTCTCTTGGGCCCCAAGGCTTCACGAGCTCTGGTGGTTTGGACTGGCCTGGTGGCTCTCAGCCTGCTGGCATACTTTGATGATGTCTGATGGATCAGAATTTTTGGTGCACTCACCTTGAACACTGAGAAGCTAGAATATTCTAATGGAGCCAGGTAGCCCAGACAGTTGTTACAGGAGTGACTTGCTTAGCACGGTGGCTGCAGTCAGCTCTAAGGACCCGCCAATGGACTGAGAGTCAGGTCCTGACAACCGTTTAGACTAGGTCAGCTGAGACCCAGCTCTACCCTCCTCCACCTGCCCCTCCTCCTTGGAGACCTCCGCCTCCTCCAATCCAAAACAGGGCCCTCTGTGCTCTGGTTCCATCATCAGCATCTCTGGGGGAGAGGCACCCCATGCCCACCCTCTCCCCCATCTGCCCCCCTCCTAGGTCTTCCAGACCCCTCTCCATGGCTTTGGGGGAATCTGGCCTCCTCATCTCTCTCCTTTAAAAAGGAGGGAAGAAAAGCCACAGAGACAATTCCTACCCCCTAAAGCCTGGGAGGCCCCTTTTCCTGCCTCCGCTAGAGAGCCACCCCCAAATCAAAATGTGAAAATCCCTAGAAAGCAATAGCCTTCGAGGTACCTTGCACTGAATTTCCCGCCCCAGCCCTTCCACCCAACAGGAGGCTGGAGCTTGGGCACTGGGGTGACTTTTTCCATGCCCTCGTCATCTCCAGGGTGAAGGGCAGACCCCATTTCCTCCACACCCTCCTCCCACCTCCTATAGCTGCTGCCCCCACCTCTAATCTCCAGACTGAGCCCCGATGGAGATCCGAGTGCCAAAACAATTCTTGATATAACTTTGTACATATCTTCTACAGTTGGGGGCTGCTGGGGCTGGAGGTGGGGGCCACTCGTGGGCCATGCTCCCCTCCACCTCTCAGAGACCTTACAGTATTTAACAGTATTTACCCGCACGTGGGTATTACAGTATCTAGCTGGAATATCCCCCTATGAGCCCCCAGGCCCCCATGAGCAGGGGAAGGAGCTAGGAGAGGTGAAGTAGGTCTGGGCATGGGGGGGTGGGGACAAAAGAGCTCATTTTCATATAATTTGCATCCTCAGCTTGGCTGCTCCTGCTTTCTATAACTCATTCGCTGGAGTCTGGGTCCCAATCAGCGGGATCCAGAACTCCTCTCACACAGACATGGCTCTGGAGGCTGGGCCTCCTGAAAAGTGTTCCCTTAGGTATCTGTGTGACAAGCGCCATCCCTACTCATATTTCTTGGGGACCCTCTACCCCACCAGCCAGGGCTATCTGAAACGTAGTTTGCTAGCTCGGTGAGCTAGTTCACTCACCATGTTGGTGAGTGGGGAGCCACGCATCTTTCCCCATTTTACCCTGGGAAATTCACTCCACCATCTTCCCCATCCCTTGAAAGTCCCTTCTGCAATCTGACCTCAATCTTTTGTGCTGCAGTTTGTCCAAAGGGGACACAGATGTGGGGTCAGAGACCGGGATTATTGGAAAACCCATTGCCTCTTTTTCCCCCTCTCTTCCTGTTAGCCAATCAGAGATTCTGAATGGCCTCCTTGCACCCTGCTCTTCAGCACCCAGTAGGTGCTTAATAAGTGTTTGCTGCATTGAATTGTCTCCCTATTCCTTCTCATCTGCCCTTCAGAACCTTTGCCTCTCTTTCTCTGGCTCCCTATGGTCTTCTATTTTTTCTTTTTGTGGCTCCCGTTGTCCTCTGTCCTGTCTCTATCTTTGCCTGTGTCTGTGTCCCCCCTCTACTCAACTCCCAACTTTCTCTCCCCTAGTTTCCCCATTAAAAAAAAAAAGTGCCAAACTTCCTTGGAACTGAGCCGCTCTGGGGTGGGGGGGAGAGGACCTTGGGTAGAGAGAAGGAAGCGGGGACCATCTCTCTTTGAGGAGGCCCCTAAGAGGCATTGAATAAGGTCTGTGGACACTGAGCTAAATTGGGTCCCCCTTCCTCATCCCTCTTGCCCTGAGTTTTTCTTAGAATCTTTATAAGAAAAAAAAAAAAAAAGAAAAAAGAAAGAAAAAAAAAACTCTCCTTTTCAGCTAACCCCTACCTTTTTGGATCCCCCAAATTCCACCAGCCGGGGAGAATCCCATTTGCCTCTTTCTGAGCAAATTTATAGAATTCTGGGAGGGGGAGACAAGTTCAGTCCCTCCTCTGCTGGCCCAAGGGGCGGTACCAACTGGATGTGGAGAAGGACCTCAAAGCACTTAGGAGAACTAGGGGTTCAACGTGCCAAATTCACCTCCTTCATCCCCCGCCTCAGGGGGCTCTGAGCCAGCCTGCCCAGCCATCATCTTCTGCCCTGTCCAGCCATCTCTACATGGGCAAGGAGGCTTCACTGCAATAACTGGCAGGGCAGGGAACCGAAGGGCAACGATTCTGCCATCCTTATCTCCCTGACCCAGCCCTGGACTTGTAGGTGGGAATTCTGGGTATCTCAATGGAGCTTATGTTAAGAGTTGATGTATAGATAGATTGTGGGGGACCTAAACTTGGAACATTAAGGTGCCACTTTTCTCGGGGTGGTATTTCTTCTCCCCTCTTGACTACCGAATCCTTCAGTATCCCCGTGTTCTGTTTCTCCCGCCTATTCCTCCCTCCCGCACGCACCCTTTCCTTATTTCTCATTGGTCGCCAACTGTTTGGGAAACAAGTCCCCCGCATCCATGATTGCTGTTTCGAGACCGGGATTAGAGGTTGTGATAGACTGAGTGTTGGCAAAAGTATAACTAAGTGGCCATGAGGATGGCAATGTGGGCGTCCAGGCTGCCCCCACGGGGCACACCTGTCGGGACAGCCGGGCGGCCCTTCGCTGTTGGACGCTCACCTGCGCGGCGCCGCCGGAACCCAGGCCGGCTGTCGCGTAAGTCTGAACTGGATGTCACAGTGGGGAGAAGGGGATCGCGATACCTAAGTTGGGGCACGGCGGGCCAGGACTCCGGTCTCCGCCGTCGTGGAGTCTCGACACCCAGCCCTGCTATCGCGATCCCTCTCCGCCGAAGTCAGCGGCCTCTCGCCACCGCGCCGCTGCGGGTGTGTAGGGTCCGTGGGTCTCAGCGCCCTCCGCAGTCGCGTAGGGCATTGCTGGGTGGCAGGGAGGGAAACGGAAAAGTCTCGTCGGGGATGGTGGTGGTGAAGGCTGCTGGTTTTTAACCCCTTCTCAGCCAGTCCAGGACACTCTTGTCTCCCAGAAATAATTGGGGGAGACCGCCTAACCCCCCTCCCTCACCCTTTCCCCCCCACCCTACCCCCATCCCCCAAAACCACCAACCTCTCATCTTCTAAGTGACTCCATCACCACCGGCCACCGGAACCTGCGGCCTCATTGCTCCAGCCCGCCCCACTCGACCGTCAGACTCGCTCATCGAACTCTTTTTAATTAACCCTTTCTGTGTTCATCCCACGGAAAACTGTGTGTCCGGCAGGAGGAAAGGGGGGAGGCTAGGGGCAGTTGCTACCTTTCCTCCATCTCCTCCCACCGCCCATGCCTCCCCACCCGCACCCCATCCCATGCCCCACCCCCATCCCTCACCCTTAGGGTCCGCCCCGCCCTGGGGACGGAGATCCTCTTGAAGAATCTTTGCTATTTGGCTTTGTCCCTTTTAAAAGGCGGGTCCAGGGACGTGGCCTCCCTCCCACGGAGTGCACACTCGGGCCCCACTCCCCTCCTTTCCCTTACACGCTCCCCACGCCTTCATTGTAAATAGTCGCTTTTGTACTGGGTTTGAGCCAGGGGACGTGGGGAGTCATTTTTTTTTTTCTTTGTGTTGGCATCTCAGGCCATTGGAGGCATGGCCCACATCCCAGTTTAATTTGGGAGCATCCCAAGGTGTGTCCCCTACCATCTCCAGTGTGCTGGAGTTCAGTATATCAGTATTTGTCCTAGAGGGCTGGGGTGCTTGGATCCC